TTTCGGGGCAAGATGATCAAGATACTTCTGACTCTTAAGCCATAATTTGACGTCTGATGACCATGTGGCATAATTAGGGCCAGTTAACTTGTTAATGGATAAGTGCACATTAACATAGTTAGTGTAGATGGAAGGATCAGACGCAGTACTAACAGAATTGGAAGTACTAAAAAGAGCGGAAGAACTCATAAAGGGCGGAGGCGATAGTGACAGCGGCGTGAACCAGTACACTAGGTAAGTTCTCAAGAAAAAGAGGTGGGTCACTAATGGACACGCTTAAATACCAAGTCTTTTCTTGTCAGAACTTTCATAGACATGCGCTTTCACATTACCAAATAACTGATAGCGATAGCGACGGCGGTGGCGGCTTCAATAGTGGTCAAAGGCGAAAAAAAAAAATTCAAAATAACCTTAAGCTCTAGATACCATATTGAATATAGAAGAAATAGAGTTTGAGATTAATCTTTCTTGTGTATAAATCACATATAGGATAGTCTATTTATAATAGAGAGATACAACTAAAAGAGTAACTGAAATTAACAGAATAAACAGAAGATATTGTTTGATATTATGAATATCTAACAATATCTTAACAATATTAAATAATATCTAAACAATATCTGACCATTTTCATTTCAGGATATGGACACAACGTATTGCGTAACTGTGGATGATGTTAATTGTGCTTTCTTTGATAAAGTCGAAAAACTTGGTGATTTTGGTCGCCATAACAAGGAAACAATTGCGCAGCTTGTGCGGGGATTTTTCCATTATTGGGCATATTGTCATGATTATGCAAATGCGGTTATATCTGTACGCACAGGAAGCATAATAAGGTAAGACAACTCGTTTTCTGTAAATATTTGTCATACATTGTTAAGGTAATGCTTTGTTCATCTAAACCTTCTGTGCTGAGGTTATAATAGGGGTTATAGCAGGAGTTGTTTTTCTGTTTTCATTTAACTGAATATATGATGCTCGTTTTTGGTGTAGCAAGCGAGAGAAGGACTGGACTAGAAGAATTGGTTTAGATCGGCATTTGATATGTATAGAGGATCCTTTTGAAACATCTCATGATCTAGGGCGAGTGGTGGATAAATATAGCATCAAAGTTCTGAGGGAAGAGTTTGAACGTGCTGCTGATATTATGCAGAATGATCCAAATCCATGCAATAAACTTTTTGAGCCCTATGTTCCCAGTTGATGGACCGTTTTGTTTTGAATATAGATTTTATAGGTGAGGTAATGGACACTCAGCTTCTTTTACCACATCTCTCGTACATTATTAACCTAGTCTCATGTTTATAAGTGTATTTATTAGTTAGGGTTTTAAATGTCATCTCAATGTAAAAAACTTTTTGGCCTTAATCTTTTATTTGAAAGGCAAGAATTCACTGTTACGTTGAACCAACTTCCAAATTATTAATTGATTGGCCAGTCAATAATAATCTTTCTCAATGAATTCATGCATGCATTTTCTGTAATTCTTGGGATTTCTTTGCCCTATTTTCCTCTCATGCAAATAATAACCTCTTCAGGGTTCTATCTTTTAAATGATGTCACTAAAATGTCACTAATATGTATTTAATACATAAAATAAAAGTAACAAAAAGGGTATTTTTTTATTTCTTTATGTTTAGGTAAAACACAAGGACAATTGTATGTGTGTGTTCATATTTTTCTTTTAAATGATTATTAAAATATTAAATATTAAATTATAATTTAAAAAATAACTAGAATTTAGAATTAAAAAAAATCTGTAAAAATGATTACCAAAATATTAAAGATAGCTCATAATTTAAAATAAAAAAATATTAAAAAGAAATAAAAATTAATTATATAATATGAAAAGAAGATATTATATAATAGAAGAATGGATATGATGATGTGCTCAAAACAACTTTGGTGGTCATTACGAATATTTGGTAATAGCATTTCGATATTGGTGTTCATTAGGAATATTTGGTAATAGCATTTGGACATATTAAAGCTTCTGCAACCTTCTAAGACTTATGAATCTAGTTTTTCAAATAATTTTTGAAAAAATTTTTGTTAGTATTTTTGTATGACATTCTAAGAATTTACAACAACATTTAGTTATTCTAAGTTAAAAGATAATCACTTGTCTGCGAGATAATGTAAGCTTATGTTTTGATTAGGGTAAGTATTTGAGGAGTAAATTTAAGATGATTTATTGTAACTAATGTGATTGATAAGAATGAATATAAAAAAATTGATTTTTTTTTATTTTTAGTATAATAACTAAAATATTCTTATTATTGGATAAATAAATTAAGTAAATATGATAAGTATGATATAATCGAATGTAATTAATTTGTATTATACATAATATTTAAATATATTAATATTATTTTATATATCAAGTGTAATTAAAATTATTTTATATATTAATTATAAAATATTTTTTATTATAGTTTAAATTATATTTAATTTTTTATATATTTTGAATGAATATTTAACAAAGTAAAATTGTATTACCTTAATAATAATTTATAAATTATCCTACATTTTTTTAATTTTTTATTTCATATTAAATACAATAATTGAATAACATTGAAATAAAATATAACATCATTATTTAATGTGCAATATCAAATAAAACAACATTTTAATTGGTTAAAAACATTAATTACAATTACAGTCATTCAAATAAACAAATTACATGTTCACGTTTTGTTACATTCATCCAAAAAATAAAATAAAGATAAATATAGTACTGTCATCCAACATGATAGATGTGTCCTAGATATCCTATGACAACTAAGATGAACCATTATCATTCAGACATAAGTGTGGTGGGAAGCAAAAAATCATCTCTTTGTGAACGAGATTTTTGTAGATAAACTCATAACACTATAGTTGAAGATGATCACCCAAAAGGTTAAACTCACGTAACATTTGTCATATATCTGATGTAGAATAATGTCACGTAATAGAGCTCATCTAGATCATAATTAATGTGTTCACTGTGTAAGTCTGTTCGCCAGTGCATGTCAGCGGTCTTAGCCTTTATGATAACAATTTGCCGCTCCACCAAGTCTACCAACTTAGTTGAATATCTGTTATTCTCTCCCATTCTATCGACCATTTTGTGGATTCTTTTATTTATCACTTCAAATTATGAATTTAAATTAATATCGACTATGTGAATTTTCTTCTTGAACCCCTGTTTAATTAGTCCATACAATAAAAATACAAAATTATAATGAAGTCTAAATAAGAATCGAGTGATAAGTAATTTAACAATAAAATAAAATAAAGGTTCAATGATTTCTTATAAATAAAAAATGTAACTATAATTAATTATTAATTTTATATATTTTTATTCAATTAAGTTTACATATAATGTGATTATTAAAATGTTATATGAAATAACTTAATTAACTTAAAAGAAGTAATGAAGTTTTGAAAATTGTTAATTTTAGAAAAGTTTAGAAATACAGTCACAAAAAATCACATATCAGAATTATAAGGAAATTAAATTTTAATTTAGCCTAAAATTAAAAAGAAAAAAATATTAAAATAAAAATAAATATGATGAAAAAATAAAATATTCGAGATAAGAAATGAATATTTCTTTTTAGAGTATCTTTTAAAAAAATTATTTTTAGAATATCTTTAAAAAAAATACTTATAAATAGACATATTATTTTAATATAAAAGTCACGTATAAAAGTGGTTAAAAATAATTCTCTAGTTTTTAAATAATTTTTTTTTATAAACAACTCCTTTAAAAATGTTTTTGGTGTGTATTAATACTATCAAGAAAGTTTGAATCCTCTACAATTTGCAAGCTCTATATTAAAATATATTATTTTTAAAAATGATTTATTATGATATATATATATATATATATATATATATATATATATATTAGATAATTATTTTTATTTTGATATTTAATTATATAAATAGTATCAGTCAATTATTATTTACCCCTTTTTTAATGAAATATTTATTTATCTATAAAGATAATCGTACTTTGTGTTTGTTTTTAAAATAAAATATTAAGGTATTATTTCGTTTCTCTTAAATACTTTTTTTTTCTAGTATAAATTAAAATATGTTTACCTCTCAATATATACATATACCAATTTTAACAAATTTATTAAGATTTTAAATAAAAAATAAATTCAATGATTTTTATTTATAATAATAATTTTTATAACAAATCATTTAACATTTTTAAATAAATATATTTTTTATTAACATTGGTGGATATTAATATCAATTGTATTCATCATACAAGTGATTAAATATTTAATTAAATTTAATAACATTACTTTATGTATAAATAAAGTTAAAGAAACTATATTACAGGAACAACATTCTTGTTTGCCCAAAATTTACACGTTGATTGAATTTTGAATATAAAATTGGGATAAATTTATATATTAGTTATTTATTACTACACAAAATCTATAACAATATATATATATATATATATATATATATATATATATATATATATATATTCATATAAAAGAAAAATCTATAACAATATATATATATATATTTATATTTTTTATTTCTTTTAAAAAAAATCAATTTTTTCTTAGATATAAATGATAAATAAAAATAATAAAAAATTCCTTTCCGATTTTTCTTTTCTTTAAATTCTACGTCATATTTATTTATTTTTAATTTTAAAAATAATTTATATATCAAAGTTCAATAAATTAAAATAAAAAACATATTAGAAAACTACAAAACCTTATATATATTTACGCTAATAATGATATAATTAATTACGTTAATGTTAATATTAATAAAATATAATATACTATTAACTATTTCTGAGCCATGTTGACATGTTGTCAACTATTTCTAAAATAAGAACAATATTTTTCAAAAGAAAATTAAAATAACACTAAAAAATCATGATAAGAAAAAAAAATATTGAAAAAAAAAAAACCAATAGTGATTATATCCTAATTTCCTACCGACTGAAAAATCTTCTATCTATCGCTTCTTCTTCTATGGCAGAAGAAGCTAACAATTGCAGCAATCACTTGCAAGATCTTCCCAAAGTGCTGGTTCTGGGTCCCCCATTGTCCTTCCAATTCCTTCAACCTCTCTACTCTCACAAGTTCAATTTTCTCAAACCTCACCTCTCAGATTTCTCCCTGCAACACTTTATTAACCACCACCATCCTCCATCCATCCTCGCTATTCTCTGCGGTACCAAATTCTCCGTCACCGCCGATGTCCTCCGCTTACTCCCGTCGCTTCGCCTTGTCCTCACTGCCAGCGCCGGAACAGATCACATCGACCTCAGCGATTGCCGGCGTTGCGGGATCCAGGTAACTGGCGTCGGAGCTCTGTTCTCGGAAGATGTGGCGGACATGGCTGTGGCTCTGCTCGTTGACGGAATGAGGAAAATCTCGGAGGCGGATCGATGGTTAAGGAAGAATAATCGCGACAATACGCCTTGGGATTTATTCCCATTGGGCTCCAAGGTTTGCATTATTTCTATATATTTATTTTTTCTTATTGTTTCATAGTTTATTACAATATGAAAATTAAAGCTATAATTTAAGTTTAATAACTTTTTTTGATTATTTTTTATTTTATTTAGTTTGGTTTCATTATTAACAAAAGAATTCAACTAAATTTTTCAATTTTTAAAAACATAAGTTAAAAAGTAAAATAATTAACGGAGACAATTTTAGTTCATGCATTATTTTATTTATTAGTGACATTTATTAAGGATTTGAATGAAAATTAAATAATATAATGAAAAGATAATTAGGCCTTTAATTTAACCTTAACCCCTTAAAAAATTGTTATTTATATCATATTAAAAATGCATATCATATTAAAATGGTGTGGATAAGTCTAACCCGTTCAAAGCAAAGTTATTTTTAAATAACTGGATTTAAGACAAAATTAGACAAATGAATACAAAATCGGTTAAATTTTTTATTAAACTAAATAAATATAAAGATAATTTTTAATAAAATAAATAATATATTTAAATTTTTTCTTATTTTTTATTTTATATGAATTATATTAATTTTAAATAATAATTATTTTAATGTGTTTTTATCTTATTTTAATAATTATTCATTTTATGATATCTAATATATTTTATATTTATAATTTTTATTATATTTTATAATAATTATGATAGTAATATTTATTATTTTTTTATAACAAAAGTTGTTATTAATAAATTTATTATATATTTATTATATTATAAAAATATTATTTTATTAAATTTAATTGAATTCCCATTCAAATATTTTTAAAATCAAATTGGTTACTAAACTAGACATATATATTAGTAATTTCTATTTAAATATTGTTTACATAAGTGGAAAAGCAACTGAATTTTGTGTTTATTTTAACTTATTTAAATAGATTTGAGAGCATAATGTAATAGATCAAAAAATGAGACAAGAAACAACTTAACTTATTTATATTTACACGAGTATTTTTGGGAGAGAATAATTCTTCAGCACTCAAAGATTCTCATTAAAGAGACAATTTGATCATCTCTAAAATTTTTTTATTATAACATTTTTTATCATTCAAAATCACTTAAGTTTATGTCGCATTTTCCTTCATTTCTGAACATTTTTTACTTTATCCAAATAACCGTACTTTCTTTTCAAATCTCATTTTTCAATCCCTCGAATCCATCTTTAATCTAAACAAAGTGTAAATATTTTAAAAAGTGAATAATAATAATAATTAATTATATTTCTTTTGAATCAAACACGAAAGTGTCTAATCCCTACTCAACATATTATATTCTATATCTAAAGTAACATTACTGAGATTATTTCGTGATTAATTTGATCACGGAATACAAGTAGGTATATTTATACCTTACCAATTAATCAATTTTAGTTTGACACATTATTAACAAAGTATATATTCCAAATCAATAATATATTTTTATTATTGATCAATATTTATTGATAATTACAAAATCATAATGGATCTCAATAAAATAAAATAAAAACTGATTCACAAAATTTTGTGATTTATGGTAAACTTTAAATAACAACAAAGAATATGTTGAGAAGCTTTCCTTAGCAGTTTTTGTTGTAGTCAACTACTGTTGCGGAAACGCTGAGTAGAATTTTAAAAAAGAAAAAGAAAATTATACTTTACACAATTATGAAAGGCATACGCCAACTATATTTGTAACTTGTATGAAGCTTGTCAAAGAAATAATAATTGTAGCCAGCACTACATGGCAAAAATATTTGATCACTTGATCATACTGATTAAAATACAGTTTTTGGATTTTTTAGAAGACATGCTCAAATCACGGTGTGGGATAAAACTTGTTTTTTTTTTTTTTGTAATTTTTGTCCAGTGTGATTTTGCAGTTCCTAGCTGAAATTCAAATTCACTTAGTATAAGATGTGACCTCATTATTGCTAGTTTTAAAGGGAATTTATTTTTGTGAGGTTTAGTTTATAAATTTCCATGTAATTATGTAAGCAACTGGGAAAAATGCATGTACTGGTGCTTGTTCTTCTTACCTTAAACTATACAGTCTTATCCCCTTATTCATAATCACAGATCATAGGTACATTATAGGCATGTATAATGCATTAAACAATAACTATAATAAAGCATTAGTGTTACTTTCAGTTATCAGGGAAGCGCGTTGGGATTGTTGGATTGGGAAGCATTGGCATGGAAGTGGTCAAGAGACTCGAGTCTTTTGGTTGCATTATATCATACAACTCTAAGCATAAGAAAGCTACAGTTTCATATCCTTTCTATGACAGTGTTGTTGAACTTGCAACTAATTGCGATGTTCTTGTGCTGTGTTGTGCACTAAATGAGCAAACAAAGCACATAATTAACAGGGAAGTAATTTTGGCATTAGGAAAAGGAGGATTTATCGTCAATGTTGGAAGAGGGGGTTTAATTGATGAAACGGAATTGGTGAAGTGTTTGATGGAAGGGGAAATTGGAGGTGCTGGTTTTGATGTGTTTGAGAACGAGCCTCATGTTCCCAAGGAGCTCTTTAAAATGGATAATGTGGTTTTGTCTCCACATTCTGCTGCAATTACTGTGGAATCTTTCATGGATGTTTGTGAACTTATTGGAGGGAATTTAGAAGCCTTCTTCTCGAATAAGCCCCTACTTACTTCAGTTATGTTGCCTAAATAACGTGTTCTTGTAAACGATTTCATCTCATTCCTGCAATGGTTCTTAAGTCGTAAATGACTTTGTTCTATTCCAAAAACCGTCCCAGTGAAGTGCCTCTGCATATACATTTAAAACTGTTTTCATAAGGGAGGAGATGAAGAAAACTCCATTTGGATAAGTTTTTTAAGTCCATTTGTGTAGCATTGCGTGTTTGCTTTTGTTAATTATTTTTAATATTATCTTTATATTTTTCTGGGACATGATTTAGTAAGGTATTTAAGATGCATAACAAACTATTGTTCTGGCTGATATTGTTTCTCTAAAGACCTTATACAGTGTTTCGTTGTAATTATTACTCTAGATTCATCTGCAGCATGTTGTAGTGAAATTAATTGGTTTAAGATGCGTTTCAAACACTGCTGTTCTAGCCGATTTTGTTTCTCTTATAACCTTAAATCATATTGAGTTGATTTTTATTCATTTTCAAGTTAGTATGATGTTTTGCTAGATGCAACTTCTAAATATTTTCTATCTATCAGTGTTGCACCAATTATTGTCTGCAGTCACTAGCAATGATGATTACAATGCTAGTCAAAACTGAATTCACATTGGTTATTTTACTACTTGAATTGTCTAGTTAAAGTTAGCCTACACAAACCAGTGTTGTCTATTCTCTTCAAAATCATGAAACTGATTTAAATTCTCAAAAGGAAAGGCAAAATATCAGGTATCAATTTTAAGGTTTAGGGTTATCTTAAACCAATTAATTTCACTACAACATGCTGCAGATGAATCTAGAGTAATAATTACAACGAAACACAGTATAAGGTCTTTCGAGAAACAATATCAGCCAGAACAATAGTTTGTTATGCATCTTAAAACACGCTACCTTACTAAATCATGTCCGAGAAAAATATAAAGATAATATTAAAACCATTCAACTTTTAATATTCTTTTTATACTAAGTTAATTTTTTGGGACTTTAGGGAGTTGGAAACGTAAAACTCAAGTTGACAAATGTATTAATATCAAAACATGAAATTAAGAAATTTAAAAATAGATTAATCCTCGTTCAAAAATAAAATAATTCTTTTATTATAGTTCTTTAAAGATTTAACTTTAAGTTTAACTAATTAATTGATTTAATTAATAAGTAAAACTGATATAAAATCTATATAAGGTATAACATCATTCTCAACCAAAAATCTTAAGACATGAAGTTATGAGTCCTATTTCCTTACATGTTATTCAATATTTTTGTTCTTATTTAATATGAGATTTAAATTTACATTTGTATTTTTTTAACATCATTCAATTTAATTTATATTTAATCATCAAATCAAAGTTCAATCGATTCTAAATCGAAAATGTAATTTGTAATAAAAAAATAAAACCAAAACGATAAACATTTAATATAAAATTCAATTTGATCGATTTTATTTTGATTTCATGAATTAATTTTGAAGATTTAATTATCTATAAATAAATGAATTTTTCAAAGAAAAAGGAGAAAAGAGAAAAAGTCAAAAGCTGAGAGAAAATAAAAAAATGAAAAAACAATTTTTTAAATTAAATATATAGAAAAATATTTTTTGTATTTTAATTTACAGTACATTTAAGTTATTTAAATGTTCAAAAATAAGATAATATGGGTCTAAACGTAGGTTTTGATTATATCTATAAATCTAAGTACACAAAATTAAGTTAATGAAAAAAAAATCCACATGGATTGCATAACCAAATTTTCGTAAATTTACTCCACTTTTAAAAATAATAGAAAATCACAACAAAACTTCAAATCCAATAAATTATATGTCTATTTCAAACTCTTAAAAAAAGATATTTATAGAAAAATTACGATGAAATAAGAAGTCAAATGAACTAAAAATAAAAAATTAAAATAAACTTATACACTGAATCAATTTATTATTATTGAAAGTAATTATATTCAAATTAAAAAATAAAATATATAAAAAATGTATTTATTGTATAATAAATTTATAAATATGTCAGAAAAATAAAATATTTATATAATAGATGAGACGTGCAGTAGTAATCAAATTAATGGATCATTTATCTTTGTGATGCTTACCAATTGGGTGTATAAAAAAAGTGTTATAATCTTTTTAAATTAATCAATAAAATATCAAAATTTTACATACTAAACTAACTCTATTTTTAATTTTACACTAAATTGGGTCATTTCATGAGGTAGTACAATTTTTTTTAATACCAATTTTTACAAATTTATTAAGATTTTAAATAAATATAAAACTATTTATAATTATAAAAAGTTTAAAAAAGATGTTTAATATTTTTATTAAAATTGGTGGATAATAAAATGAGTTGTATTGTATCCATTAAACAAGTGATTCAGGATTTAATTAATTCAAGTGACGTTACTTGTATATAAAGTAAAGTTAAACAAACTATATTCCAAGGCCAACATGCACCTTTGATTTTGTTATTTTTAAAGTGATATCTTTTACTAATATTATTAAATTATTTTAATATAAAATGTGATATTGATATTAAAATATAATATTATTATGGCATTGATGTATAAAATATATTTAGGATGATGTGACATTTTGATATTCTAACTACTAATCTTGGTTATTTAAAAAAAATGTGATTAATTTCAGAAAGAAAGAACAGAAATAATAATAATAAAAGAAAAACTATTTATCCATAGAGTTATTATATATACTAACATCCTATCCTGAAATATCTCTCCATCTGGTGTTTCTTCAATGGCAGAAGAATCAAACAACGGCACCAATCACATGCAAGATCTTCCCAAAGTGCTGCTTCTGGGCCCGGGTCCGCCATTTTGCTTCGAATCCCTTCAACTTCTCTACTCTCACAAGTTCCATTTTCTCAACCCTCACCTCTCAGATCTCTCGCTGCAACACTTCCTTGACCACCACCACCCTCCCTCCATTCCCGCCATTCTCTGCAGCCCCAAACACTCCGTTACCGCCGACGTCCTCCGCCTCCTCCCGTCGCTCCGTCTGGTCCTCACCACCAGCGCCGGAACGAATCACATCGACCTCCGCGAGTGCCGTCGCCGGGGAATCCAGGTAGCCAACTCCGGAGCTCTGTTCTCGGAGGATGTGGCGGACATGGCTGTGGCTCTTCTTATAGACGGATTGAGGAAAATCTCGGCGGCCGATCGATGGTTAAGGACGCAGAATCGCCAGAATACACCTTGGGATTTATTCCCTCTGGGCTTCAAGGTTTGTGTACGTTAAAAATATAATTTAGGTTTAATTATTTGTTTAATCCTATTATTTATTTATTTTATTTGGTCTCATTAAAAAAAAAAAATTAAATCAAGTTTTTAATTTTTGGAACATAATATTACACTGATAGTTTTAATCTATGATTGAAAGAATTGTGTTTAAGATTTAAAAGTTTTTAAATTAAATTTTAAAACATAATATTTTTATAATATAATGACTTAATTTAGTAATAATATTTTTTATAAAAAAATAAAAATAATTATTATAATAATTATAAATTAAAAACAATTTATAAATATAAAAGATATTAAAAATTATAAAATAAATAAATAAAAATATAATAACATAATTATTATTTAAAATTAATAGAATTAATATGAAATAAAAAAATTAAAATATATTTTTCTTTTATAAGTATATTATATTAAAAAATTAAATTTTAAAGTTTTTTTATTAAAATCGTTCAACTTAATAATCTAGTAATTTTTTAAAATTTATAAATTTTATATTGATTTAATTAAAATTTAATTATTTTAAAATAATAAATCAATTTTTAAATCGATTAGATTAATTAAATCCGTTGAATAATAATTTTAATTTTTCATATCGTAATATTTTTTTCAAAATTTATTGATATTTCAAGAATTAACATTTACATGATTTCGTATCGTAAATTAAGAAAATTTATTTAATTTTTTATTAATAGACATTGAAGTTGAATCAAATAAATAAATAATAAAAATATAATTAAACTTGTAATTTAACTTCAATATCTTGAAAGAGATAAGATCCTAAGAATGTGTGGATAGGAATCAATGAAAAATACTTTGAATGTAAGGGGTAACTTTTGGTAGGGACCGAAGGTTATGATTAATAAATTGTTATATATGAAAAATACATGTATAGAAACCTATCTAATAAATTGTTATGAATAAAGTTAAATTATACATTCAATTTCTTATATAAAAAATAAGATGAAATAGGAAAAAAGGGATATAAATTAAATAAAAAAATTGGGAAATAATAGGTAAATTTAGAGGATAATTTTAAAAAGTTAAAAGATTTAACAATATAATAGGAGTAAAGAATAAAATTATAGGTAATATATTATATTATATTATAATTATATAATATATATATATATATTAAAAATAGATATATATTAGTAAATTATTATTATTATTTATATTCATTTTAAATTAAATACATTAAGTAATTTTATCTCAATATACTATATTCTATATTTAATGTGATATCACTTAAAATTAGTTCCTGAATCATTTGATTAACTGATACAATTAGAATATAAATCAATTTTAGTTTGACAAATACTAGTCATCAACAGAGGTAACAGATACTCCAACGCAATAACATATTATTATTACTTATTATTAATTAATATTTATTAAAATAACAAAATCATCATTGGTCTCAATAAAAAGAATGGGATTCACAAAATTTTGTGATTTGATAAACTATAAATAACAAAGAATGTGTTAAGAGGCTTAACTCAGCAGTTGTGACTTTTTTGGATCTAATAAAATCATTTTATTAAGAAATAATAAAATAATATAAAAAGTTGAAAGAATATAAAATATTTTTTAGTTTATATATATTAATAATTCATTTTAATATTTATTAAAAAAGAATTAAAATTATAAATATATAAATAAATATATTTAATGAATTATAAATATATAATTAAAAATAAATATATTATTGAATATTAAATTATAAGAATCAAAATTATCAATACGCTGAAAATAAACAGTATATTTTGCGGTTCCTATCTAAAATTCGAATGCACTATTTTAAAGGGAATTTATTTTGGTGAGGTTTAGTTTATAAATTTCCATGTAATTATGTAATGGGAAAATGCATGTATTCTTCTTACCTCAAATTATAGTCTTATCCCATTCTTATTCATAATCAGATTGTATGTTGCACTAAACAATCACAAGAGTAATAAAGCATTAGTGTTAGTTTCAGTTATCAGGGAAGCGAGTTGGGATTGTTGGATTGGGAAGCATTGGCATGGAAGTGGCCAAGAGGCTGGAGCCTTTTGGTTGCATTATCTCATACAACTCTAAGCATAGAAAAGGTAGAGTTTCGTATCCTTTCTGTTCTACTGTACTTGAGCTTGCAGCTACTTGTGATGTTCTTGTAGTCTGTTGTGCCCTAAATGAGGAAACAAAGCACATAATTAACAGGGAAGTCATTTTGGCATTGGGAAAAGGAGGGTTTATTGTCAATGTTGGAAGAGGGGAGCTTATTGATGAAAAGGAATTGGTTAAGTGTTTGATGGAAGGGGAATTAGGAGGTGCTGGTTTTGATGTGTTTGAGAACGAGCCTCGTATTCCCCAAGAGCTCTTTAAAATGGATAATGTGGTTTTGTCTCCGCATGTTGGGCCTTTGACTGAATCTTACATGAATATTTGTGCACTTATGGTAGGGAATTTAGAAGCCTTCTTCTTGAATAAGCCCCTACTTACTCCACTTATCTTGTCTGAATAACTTGTTATTGTAAATGATTTTATCTCATTCCTGTAATGGTTCTTAAGTCGTAAATAGTTTTTTTTTTTATCATAAAAATATTTTGATTGGACTAAAATGATAGAAATTTTTTAATTTTATCAAAATAAGTTAAATGGTATAAGATGGAACAAACTTCTCCTAACAAAATCGTATTTAAAAGCACAATTTTAATTATTAATATTAAATAAAACGATTTAATTATGTAAATTTTTTATTTATTATTATAAAAACATGTTTGGTAACATCAATTTTAGGTATTTTTTTAAATACGAGTTTTTTAAATATATTATTTATTAAATAATTAATTTTGATTTAATTATTAATTTAATAAGAAATAAAAATATTTAAAAGAAATATGAATAAATTTAATTTAGTATATTTATATTAAAATATTATATATATATATATATATTTATATAATAAAATTAATGATAAAATTTGTCTTAGAAGATAATCTTCTTATTTGTTTATAAGTTTAAAATGAAAATTATTGATCTAATTATATAATTTAAATTTTTATTTTAATTTTATTATACATCGACACACATTAAAAAATCTACAACTAATCATATTTAAAATGAAATAAATATAGAAGTTAAAAATAAATAAAACTTGTCAAAATAAAGAACATATTCGTTGAAACTTTCCATTTTTAATATTATCTCTGTATTCTCCAGTCCTGGACATGATTTAATAAGGTAATATGTTTTAAGATGCGTAACAAACCACTGTTATATGGTGTGTTTCATTTATACTTTAGATTCCTCTGCAGCATGGTGAAGTGAAAGTAATTGTGGTTTCAAAAATGCGTTTCAAACTCTGCTGTTCTAGACGATTTTGTTTCTCAGGTAACCTTAAATCATACTGAGTTTCTTCATTTTTCAAGTTAGTATGATGTTTTTCTATTTTCTCTATCAAGAGAAAAACCTAGCAGATTAGTGTTGCACCAATTATTGTCTGTATTCACTAGCAATGATATTTACAATGTTAGTCAAAACTGAATTCACATTCATTACTTTAATACTTGAATTGTATTGCTTTTTGTCCATTCTCTTTAGAATCATGCACTAACTAATTCTATATTTCTAAGGGAAAGGCAAAATATTAGGTATGTTTTTGTGATTGAAAGGAGAAATCAATGCAGATATGCTTAAGCTTCTCTATATAAATATCTACAAGATATGAACTTAAAATTAGGTCTATCAAATTTTTCTATTAGATTTTTTTGATATTAAAATTATGAGTGTGCTTAACAATCGAAAATAATTGTCACTTCATCCATCACAGATACAATTTGCAAATTTTGAGTTAAAAAAAAATAAAGTTTCTCTTTAATTATATTTCTATGTATTATTTATAATTATATATAAAAGAAATTCCTTTTATAAACCACTTTTTGATATCTTTGAATAAAAAAAATTATAATTTAAAATAATAAAAAAAAATATGTTACGTAATTATTAAAAAAATAAATATATTTAAAGAAAAAAGAGAAAATAAAATAAAATTTAAAATAACATTTAAAAAATAATAATTATAAAAAATATGACCACATTACTTTAACGTTTATGTTTCCACTTAGTAATAATTATAATTTTTTATTAAATTTAGGAAAATAATTATCGTAATATAAGATATACTTATCATTTAAGAAAAGAATTCAAATTTTTATTTCATTCTTATTCAAGTAATAAATTAGTAGTGAAACATAATAATAAAAGAATTGGTTAAAAATAATTTTAAAATTTGATTCTAAATATTAATACATATTATTAACAAAATCAGAAGGCATAAACAAAATGTGAACTAGACATTTTATACTTAAATTAGTATATATATATATATATATATATATATATATATATACATATATATATAAAGATAATAATAAAATATAAAAAATATATATTAATAAAATTATTTTAAAATAATATTTATAAAACTTTAACTAAATTATATTAAATAAATTATATTTGTTATAGTAAATTATACTTATTATATTAGAAAATAAATTATACATGTTGGATAATAAATTATACTTAGAATATTTTAATAATGTGATATTTTTTATTTATAACATTTTTTAATTTCTTTTCACTATTATTTTTGTAATATTAGTTTAGATTTATTTTTTTATAAATAAGATTATATTGTTATTTTTTAATAATATCAAGTTATTAAATGAAAATTATAAAATAGAATGAATGTGATCATATTTATTGGTCTATTATATATAACATATTTAATTAATATGATATTTTCATATAATCATATCATATTAATAATTATTATAATATTAATATCATATTATATTTTTCCACCAAACAAATTAATAATATTAATAAAAGAGATAACTTTGACCTACTCTTACAAATAAAAAAATCATTTGCCCTTTATTTAGATTTAAGATTTCACCGTTTAGGAGAAAATGAGGATATAGATTCGAAGAAAAACTTTTTATTTATATTAAGAGATTTTAAATTGAATAATTAATTATATTAAAATTATTATTATTATATTTATTATATAAAAATTAATCTTGATAGGTATACATATTTCATTATAATAAAATTTAAATTATATTTAAATAAAAAAATTAATTTATTTAATTATATTAATATTGTAATGTATATTATTAATAAAATTTAATTTTTTTAATAATGTAACTTTAATGGTTTTATTTAATTTGTACGTGAAATAAAAACTTAATATGATTCATAATTATTTGTTCAAAATTTTAATTTATTTTTAAATAATTTGTAATACTTTTTTTCAAATTTGAAAAATTAATTACTTTAAATTTAATAATTTTATCTTTAAATTATATTTATTTTTAATAAATTTTAACTAAAAATATTTAGTAATCTGTTAAATTATTTTATTAATATATTTTTTTATTCGATTGATTCCTGAAGTCACGTGGAGTTGCGGTATTAAAGTCTAGATCAGTTATGATTTTTATATAATATACATCTATTATACAATTTAAAATATTAATATAATATAATATAATATTAATATTTATTTAATTAATAAAAGTAATGGTTGAGGTGATGTTTGGGTGTTGAAGCCAACATTTCCGTAAAGCCTAACTCATCCACCGCCACTCCACTTCTCTGGCAACTTTTCTCCGCTTATCCCTTCAGGTAAGCGATTATTTCTGTTTGGTTTAGATGCTGCTTTTGTGTTTAAGCATTTTACATTCATCAATATTTACTTGTTTATGTGTGAACTGTTTGAGAAAATTTCTAGCTGGGAACTTCTACATTGTTTGGATATAGTTTTTTCCACTTTATCAGATCTCATACATGTTTTCTAAGTTTTTTTAATTTTATTCCACTCCCTGCCGAAAAATCCTTAACGGAATGTAAACGAATATTACATGTATACTTCTGTTCTGTTGATAAAATTCTCGGAGTATTTCTGTGTTTATTGTAATATGCTCCTTTTGTATCTCAATTAGAGAGATAACTCCATGGCTGAGATGTGCAGTGCAATAGATCTGGACTATGTATCAGATACGATTCGTAAGAACGATTCGTTTACTAAAAAAAATAGGATACTACACCTACTTGTCTGAAAATATAAAAAAATTCATTAACATAATAGTTCTGCAAATCCAAGTTTCAAATTATATTTTTTTAAATATTATAAAAATAAAAAATACAAATAATTATCGTTATAAAATATTTTCTATTATTTACATTTAGGAATTCTCATTAATTTCTTAAAATATTTTATAAAAATCATGGTTTATGAAAAATAATATTTATATATTTCTATTTTATAAATAAATATATGTTTCTTAAACTTTGATTGAATATAAATGATTTACAAATTTTATCATTTAATTGATACGTATCGACAAAATATAGATAAACTATCTAAAAGCATTATTTATAAAACAAATAAAAATATTGATTCTTCATTCGTATCCGAAGTATAGGTGAAGTATCCTACATAATCTCTGGATATATGACCATGAATATCTTGTCAGCATATAAAATGAAATGGTAACATATAGCTAAATTTTCGCATTTTCTAGTTATATCATGTCTTTTTTAATTCTGTCGTTGTGTAATTTATTGCTGAAACAATCTCTTCCTTGTGAGCCTACATTTCTAGAGATATCGAAAGTCCTTTCATTTTGCCAGTGTTTACTACTTTTGTTTGTTTTGTAAACACTGCTACCACTAACTATTCCATTAGTCTAAAATAAAATAACCCGCATAATGTGCTTTGAATTGGAAAGAAAATGAAGTTAAGCTTTTGCAAGATACAAATACGTTAGTTTGACAGTGTTTTGGGTTTTAGAATGAAACTGGTAGTAAAAATAAATATTTCGATAGTTTGACAGTACCACTTTCAACGAGCTCAATGGCAACGGGAGACCAACACAACCACAAAGATAACAAGGAGCAGCTTCGACCACTCCTTGTGTTTGGTCCTCCAACAATCTTCCCAGTTTTTGAAGCTCAAAACTTTCACAACTACCGTTTCCTTAAAGCTTTCTCCTCACAAGTCCCTCTCCGTCAGTTCCTCACCGAGCAAAAAGTTGACCCTTCATCCATTCAAGCTATATTTTGCAACCCTGTACAGAAGGTCTCAGCAGATGTCATCCGGCTTCTACCCTCACTCCGCATCATTGTGACCAGCAGCACTGGAACCGATCACATAGACTTGGTTGAGTGCAGCCGCCATGGTATTCAGGTTGTCTCTACTGCAGGAGATCATGCCGGGGATGTTGCTGATATGGCTGTGGGGTTGTTGCTTGATGTAATGTGGAAAATTTCTGCCGCTGATCTACATGTTCGGAAATGGGGTCCTTCTATGCCCTTGAATCTTTCTTTTGGTTCCAAGGTACTGCTCATTCTTCTGCTTGTTCAATCTATGGGTGCTCTTTACATAGCATGTTGTATCTATTGGAATGATGCCGTATTTCTATTTAAATGAAGATTTTCAATAAGTGGAGTGTTGGCAAAGTATTCTCCAACAGAGTTTTTCTATTAGTCATAAGGAGAAAACCTACACAATGTTGTGATTACTATAGAATTTCAGTCACTGTTTATTTTTTAACAATATCAACTCTAATCAATTTATGCCTGTGGGGGGAGTCGGTGTTATTTCTGTTGTAGTACTCATTGAAATAAATAAAACATAAAATTGGGGAGCATGAATGATAACTAGCATTCGGCTTTGTGTTTCAGCTGAAAGGAAAGAGAGTAGGGATTGTTGGATTGGGAAAAATTGGCACAGCAGTTGCTAAAAGGCTTGAGGCCTTTGACTGCAGAATTATGTACAATTCAAGAAACGAGAAGCCATTTGTTTCTTACCCCTTTTATTCTAATGTTGTTGAGCTTGCTGGTAATAGTGACGTCCTTGTGCTTTGTTGCTCATTAAATGAACAAACGCGGCACATAATCAACAGGGAAGTGATGTTGGGTTTGGGGAAAGATGGAGTTATTATTAATGTTGGCCGTGGAGCTCTAATTGATGAAAAGGAATTGGTGCGGTGTTTGATGGAAGCGGAGATATGGGGTGCTGGCTTGGATGTGTTTGAGAATGAGCCTAAAGTTCCCAACGAGCTCTTTGCATTGGATAATGTCGTCCTCTCCCCACATGCTTCTTCATTTACTTCAGATAGTTTCACTGAATCATGCAAACGTTCAGCAGAAGCTCTAGAAGTGTTCTTTTCAAGTAATATATCGAGTACTCCACTCTTGGATGACTAAATTTATTTTACATTCAAGTTAGTGTTGTTCTCACCATTACTCTTAGAATTTAGCAGCGAGCGTGATCATCTAAAGCTAAGGTGAAGAAGTCAGAGTCTTCTTCTTTTGATAACCACATTTAACTTAAACCAATTGATTGATGTCATCAATTTAGACATTTGTGAGACACTGTCAACATGTATTCATGATAGTGAAATCTACGACTTTCAAAGTAAGCTCAATTGGTGAGTGAGATACTCGTATGTTTTTGTATGCATTATGCTCATCTAGTGGAAGATGTTATCATACTCCATGGCTTTGGCTGCTAGATCTTGCAATGTTCAGGAAGAGAAAACCTTTGTGCTTCACTGTAACTATTTCCACTATCAAATAAGCTGCATCTATCTTTGTTAATTTTTTTTATTTTTTATTTTTTCTGTTCAAGCTTCACATTGTTGCCTTGTGATCTAATGGTCATGAGTTCAAATTTCTCCAACCCCACTTGTGGGAGCTTCACCCCTTCACAATGCTTGTAATTGATGATGAGAAGCATCAGGATGAATTCATTTCAGTATTAACTGTGGTATTGTGATATTATAGAAGGGAAACAATTGTGAAAAAGAATGTTACTCTCGGTAAGTTCTCTAGTGTTTAATGTGTTCAATTTTTTCCATGAAGCACTTAATTCTTGGTTATGCAAGAATTGGCACAATATCGTAGCTGTTTTGGCAATTGGCACAATATCTCTCCACTCCTTAATGATACGACATTTTGAGTCTTTTAATGTATATCTTTTTACATAGATTAATACTTTACTTTTTTTATCAAGAGTGAAATAAAAGTTGAAAGAAATATAAGAGAAAAAGAAACAGAAATGATAGAAATAAAGGAAAAATAGAACCAAAAAATATAATCAGGAAGTGAAAAGAAAAAAAAATCTGCTTGTTTTAACATGCAGAGATGAAAGTGAAAAGAAAGAAAGAAAGCAACATATATATATATATATATATATATATATATATATATATATATATATATATATATAAATGTTTTATCATCCCCAATAATATGAACTTTTTACCCAAATTATTTCAATTAAATGTTTTTGGTTATAAAAATTATTTGGTTTTTATAACTTAAAACATAAATATAAAACACATTACAACTATTTCCATCCAATTTCATGGATTTTGAAAACGAAAATGGTTTTGATAGATCTCAGGACTACAAACTTCTTTCCTTTATCTTTAATCAACCCATCCAAACAATAAGATTATGTTTTTTATTTTTCTTTTCTCTAATTTCATCTTTCCTCAGCACAGAAATAAAAAAAAAAAAATTATCCATGGACTTTATATATTATAAAACTACCATTATTCTATTTCACAAAATATGATGTCTCTTCTATAAATTCTTCTGTGTTGTGTAGGATACATACTGGAATTTACAAAATCAACGGTAATTATCTAAAGTTTCCAAAAATCATATTTCTTAAAATTTAGTTATTTTTAATTTAAATTATTAAGTGATAATATAAGCTTTATTATGTATATTATATTATTTTCATTGACAATCACAATTCTAAAAAAATGTTCATGAAATGTTGCTAATCATTATATTACCTGGAACTTGAAACTGATACATGGATCAAGATCTGCAGAATTTGGCTCACATGAATTACGAGTCAAAAGTCACCTTCTTTCTGCATTCCCGTAACTTTTTCTTCAACCGCACCATGTAAAATAATTAAAATATTCTTTCAATAATTTTTATTTCAAATACTAAGAACTTCTTTTGTTCCCCTATATATCTTATGCATCATCATTGTTTATCTTTTGTATCTTCGTAGACCTGCACATTCAGTTTCTTATTTATCATCTTCATTCAATATTGATTCCATTGCTTAAATGGGAGTAATTACTAAAATTATATATCTATTATATATTCTTCTTATTGAAATTATACATTGTGATCAAATGGTTCGAGTAGGAATAATTTTTGAAAATCAAATTAAGTTCGATAATACATGAAATATATTTTTGGGTTGGTTTTTTGAAATATATTATGGAACATTAAATTTGAAAAGATGGATCCAAAATAAGATTTTGAGAAAAAAATTGTTCAGAACAAATTAGGTTCGAACAACATTTTTGGAAAAAAAATTCCAAACAAAAATTCAAAAAGTGGGTTCTAAATATAATTCCATAAACAAATTTAGAAATAATATTTTTGTAAAAGACTGTCTAGAGACGCATTTTAAAAGTGAGATTTGGAATATATTTTTGGAATTGATTATTCAAATATATTTTGAACGTGTCAAATACATTTTTAGAATGTTTAATCTAAAAGTGTATTTCAGATCCACTGGAAAATCAATTCTAAAAATATATTTCATAACTCAGTTTTTAGAACTAGTTTGAAAAATATTTCCAACAAAAAATTGTGCAAATGTTATATATAATAAAAAATTATATAAATTAAAAACAGTTTACTATTTTTACTTGTTTCTTGTAATTTTTAAAATAATAAAAAGAAAAATGAAAATATTTTAAGGTTTAAAAATTAAACATTTAAAGATTTAAAAACCGAAAATAAATAATTACAATAATAGAGATAAATATAAAGGTAAAATAAGATTTAATTAAAGTAAGGGATGTACGAAGAAACTATGGAATTGCTGGAAGAAAATATGAAGCTCAAATTGATAGAAACCGTCTTGGTCCGCTGCACATTATTTAAAGGTTAGACAAATTTGATATGTTTGATCGAAATTACATTTGCTTAGATAATCCTTAAGCGTTTAACACAATCCATTTCTTAACTCTTGCTTTCTGAGACACATTTTTTACATGAAAAAATAATAATTCCTTAGTTCAAGGAGGGGTGAAAATAAATACAAGTGGAGTTAATAATAACATGAAAATTTAATATATTACAATAATAAACAATATTTAATTACGTTAGTCAATAAACTAGGTTAGTTTAATATCAATTCACATTATAAACAAAATAATTAATATATATAATAGGTGGGACTAAAAAACTTTAATGTCATGATTTCAACTTAATATCAATTAACATTGGACGAATTTAGCAGATGACACACCAAAATATTTGAGACAAGCAATATGAAACTCTAGACAACGCAACTAAGTGTTGATAAGAGTGGAAGATCACTTCAATACATTAAATTAATACGAGAATATAAATATTGTGATGCAAATAAAAAATGAATATTAATATATAAATAAAATAATTGAGTAGTCTTAGGAATCTTAATTATAAAAAAGTTGAAGTAATTACAATGATTATTATTTTATTAGTATAATATTATGTATAAATTAGTAATCATATATTAATTATTAATTATGTATTATTACCATAATATATCTTTAAAAGAATTAATTTAAAAAATATTTCTACCAATTTAAGTATGATAAATGTGAGTTTTTGTTCTTCAAAATTTCTATTGAATTATCAAATAGAATTTGATGATACGATTTTAACAAATAAAATATTGAGAAACTAAAATAACTTATTTAAGATACATGAGAGAAGATTTAATTGGTATAATTAAAATCTAAAAATTAAAATTATACGTTTGAGATAATTTGGGACTTAATTAACATAATTTAAACATAAAATCTAAAATAGCACAACATGAAATAACAAACTATCATTGGACCTAAATTATATCAAATGATTTACACGTAATATACTTATAAAATATTATTGATTATTATTATTGCTAAAAAATTAAAGTGAATCAAACCATCGAACTTTTACTAAAAATTTATAGCCCTTAAAAATTAAATGAGAATTAATAAAAATCCATTGTGGTTGGTCATCACTTAATTAGCTTTGTTCTGAGATTTTCTTCAAGAAACTGAAGATATACAATTGCTTTGACTCAAATAATAGAACAGTGAAACCAATACCTCCTTTTAGGACTAATTCTTTTTCATATTTATTTTAAAGGGATAAAAAATTAATAATATTTTTAATAATAATTTCTTAAAAAAAGTACAGATAAAAAATAATTATATAAAATTAAAAAACTAAAAATATATTTAAGATTTTTACTATTTAAACTATATATTTAACTGATATTTTATATTTTACTTAAATATTTTGTCATGTTAATATATTCGTATTGATGTAAACTTACATGATCATATGAGTACTTTCATTAAATATTAGATATGAGGTTAGAGACTAAAATTACATTAAAAAATATTGTTTAGGTGGAGTATTTTTTAGTCTAATGTAAATTAATTAAGTAAATTTTAAAAAATTACTTTAAAATTATTATAAATAAAAAAACTATAACTATTTAAACTTTATTTTTATAAAATTACCTTTTTAAACTTCAAAAAAAAAAACCTTTTCTAAAATCCTAAACTTTATATTTATTAAATTAAAAGTTTTCAAATAATAAGTTTCTCTTTATTTTTTAGGTTAGATTACATGTAAAGTTTAGTTAAATATTTTTATATGTAGTTATTAATTATTAAATAAAGACGAATATTTGCTAATTCAGAATCTTGATATTGTAATTGATTTATGATATTAAATCTTTTTAATTTCTAGAAGATTTGAAGATCCTACCAGAGTGAAGAATTTTGAGAAATTCTCCTGTTAAAGAAGCTTAATTAATATTTAGTACGATTTATTAATATTTATAATTTACAATAATCTGGGACTGAAAATGTATTTGGGATTACTATCTCCACAAGTCTGGTTCTTTATTATATATATAGATATATATTTGGTAAAATTAATTTATATATTAATTAAAAGCATTAAAAATAAAAAATGTTGAAAAACTAATTTTAAAGTTGAAATATTTGAAAAATTTAAAAGTTAACTGAAAATTAAAAATTGATACCTTGAGTTATAAATATTTAATAACTGGTCTAAAATAAATTGTAAGTATTCATTCATTTTCTCTTTAATGTTCACTTCCACAGTGTGTATACTAACATTGCATTGCAGATATAATAATAAAATCTAAAAATCACTTTTAAAAACCTTTAAATTTATTCTACCATTGCCAAGATGAAACTTTCGCAAGTTGTCTTTAACAATATAAAAATAATTTTTTAACTGTAGATTGTAAATCCATAAATAATTTTATAAATAGATATATTCATTTTAAAAATAAAAGTTAGAAATTTATTATTTATTTTTTAAAATTTAATAGTTAAGATAAATTCATATTTTAATTTATTAAATTATTAAAAATAAATAATAATAAATATTTTTATTCTTTTAAATGAATGAATTTCCTTTTTTTTATAATACATTTGAGTTAACGAATAAATCCAATCTACAATATTATCTTGAAGTAACAAAGATCTAAATAATTTGAATAATTTCAAGCTTATATATCTCCAATCATTTATAATTTCCCTTTTATAAAATATGTTTTTGAGTTAGATTCCTGGTCGTTTCTTCTGTGCTTTTGTCAAAGGAGTTAAACAGTTTTATGTGCATAAGATTAATTCAAAGAAAAAAGTATAAAAATGAAACATTTATTTCATTATTATGAGCATATAACCGTTATTGTAAAATGAAATGGAAGATAAAAACATAGATATTATTGTATAAAGTGATGAATGAAGAATAAGAATAGGATGGTGTTGGATTGCTAGAAACAAAAGTTTGGTGTGAAGATTATGATGACTGACTTGCATGCAATGTCCAACTTGTTACGAAAGTCACATTTTGTCGTCTTGGAATCAAAAGCAACCGATTGACTCCAAACCTTGTTCGGTGAGTTTTGAAATTGTATGCCACCGTTCTAACCTAACATATTCTTCTCACTCTGCACTCCTTATCATCTCAGACAAATAATTCATTCAAATAATTTCACCCTTTCGTCTTTTTCTATTCAAAATTGCATTCCTTACATCATATGCATGCCTTCATTCGAGGTTCTTAACCAAGAAAAAACTAGTTATCAAAATTTTAATTTTTTTTTAAATGCAATCCACAAATTCAAACTAACTTTAGGTTATTAGATTGATAAACATGTTTTTTTTTAATCTTGATTAAAATATGAAAAAAAAAATTCTCATAAACACAAAGTTAACTTCTCTTTTTAGCCACCAAAAACATTATTTACATGTCATACACACGTCTATAATTGGCATGAATCAGTTGAAGGTGATTGTACATTGGAGTCCCTACCATTATTAGGGAAGAAAAAATTGAAATTGATTTTATTTTTTTGATTAATATTTGGACTCTTGTGATTGAGATTGTGATTATTTTTAAAGGTGTATTATATGTAGATAAGGTATTAGTTAATCAAAGATAAGGGTGGATCACATCATCAAAAGTGTAAGTGCATGTTTTCATGATTTGTTAATGAGTGGTTTCTTAGGTAATGTTTGGGGAATGGATGGGTCAGAACATATATAACACTTTATTTTCTGATTTGACTCTATTTGTTACTTTGCTTCTACTCTTGTAATACAAACTAATTAACATATCCTTTTGAGTATTAATTATTTTAATTAGTTTTTTTCCGCTTACAAAAATGTAAGTTTAATGTTATAACTAAACACAATCTTAATAGCTTCTATCCAGTTTCAAATTAGGTAAAAAAAAATTATATAATTTGATGTTAATTTTCTTGAATAAATTTGAATTGAAAAGAAAATTATGAAGTCCCCAAAAGAGGTTGACAGCTAGGTCAATATATGAGGATAAATTGCTTTCATGTCATGGCAGCATTATCCATCATGAGTTCGCAATTAAACAATAATCACTAATATTTTTGGACATTTGGAATAAAAAATCTGATAATTCTAGTGACACAAATGCAACACGATTTATTATTGAATAATTAAAAGTAGTACATCATGCATGACACAAAAGTACAAGAAAGTTGAAGGCAAGTAATAATGCATTAGTAGTGACAACATGGAATAACTTCACTACATAAATAAACTCTTTATTCCTAAAAACATAGCCTCAGTTCTTCCATTTGCGCAAATTGGATTCTCCCAACACTAACACCACTGCTAATTACTGAGTAGCCCTTCTTTTTTTTTTATGTTTCTGTTATCTTTTTCTTCACAATTGACCCACACCAAAAACACTCTCCTTCACTTCGTATGATGTCATCTTCCTCACTCAAACAGATACAAGTTAAGGCTTAGTTTAGAGTGTTGTTGGCCATGGAACAATTGTGGGGGCACCCTTTTCACTTGTTTTTCTCGCGTAGCCATGTCGCGAAAGCATCAAGTGTTTTTGTGTCAGACCTGTAATGTTTCTGGGTGAACTCAAGAAGACTTGGCCATGTGAATTCAGGATATGCCTGCGGATTCTCCATGGTAATCAGATCCTTTGGAGGAGTCACCAATTTTTCTCTATTTGGACACAGGAAGAAAGCAAGTGATTTTCTCACAATTTGGTTGTTCACAACTGCTCTATGCAAACAACTCTTGAATATCCCATTAGATAGAGCCTGAAAGATAAACCACACAACTTATTATCTTGTTTCCACTTTAGCCTCAGAACTTAAGAAACATGCATGACATGACTAACTAAAAAAAATCCATCCAAGTTAATTTGTGAAGATGCAGGTTTTAACTTCATGTAATTGATGTATGTCAACTGTGGTAAATAGGTTCATTATTTGAAGGACATTATGGACCTACAAGACATATCAATTATTAATAGTGTCCATCATCATGCAAAAAGCAACCTTGTAATTATATGATTCATACCATAAATGTGTCGCCAATGTTGACAACGAACGCATCTTCTTTTGGAGCGACAGAGTACCATTTTCCATCGACCTGGACTTGGAGGCCCTCGACTTGATCTTGGTGGAGAATGGTTAGGGATGTAGGGTCACAATGAGGCCCAGTTCCTAAAGCTAACTCAGGTTTTTGGCATGGTGGGTAGTAATTCAACCTCATAACCGATTCATTATTTTTGAAGAATTCTCGGAAACATTCCCTGTCTACTCCTAGGCTCATCCCCAGAAGCTCCATGATCTCGAGAGCCAGATTGCTCATGACTTCACAGTATTCTTGAAACAAAATCCTATTGCAAATGAAAAAATAATGTATATATAAAGTACTGCCTTGAAAATAAGAAAGGAAAAGGGGCTTAGAGAGGGGACATTAGTTTGTTTTTTGAGTCAACATACATGTGTTTGAGATGTGGTGCTCATGCATGTGTGTATAGAGAGAGTCATCAAGAGAAGAGAAAGAGATAAAAGCATTAGGTAGCAAACCCAAAAAAGAATTTTAACAAAAAAGAAAACGGATTTTACCTTATTTGTGTAAAGGGATTTTACCTTATTTGTGTAAAATGTTTTTCAAAAGATTTATCACTGGTTTAGCCTTCGTAGCAAATCATATGATAAAACAGAAAAAGCTCGTGGTAAAATGAACATTTGGTTATGTATATTGTTGGGTTTAGAGAAAACTTAGCACCTTGATATGAAAGAAACTGCATTCAATAAATCTTACCCAAATTGCCTGAAATCTTCCCCCAAGACATTCACAAAATAGTCCTCAACAGTTTTGCCGGAGTTATCAGCAGAGTAATGGAAAGAAAGTGTTTCCTTCCAAGGAAGTTTGGAGGAGAACCTTCCGATGAAGCTATTAGCATAGCCACAATGTTCTCCAAGTTTTCTCTGAGCCTTCTGCTTGTCTGGCAAATCCATGCAGAAGAAAGTATCTATGAGCTTATGAGCTTGATCTATGAGCTTCTTATCAACCCCATGGTTGACAACAAGAAAGAAGCCATGCTTCTTGCATGCCTCACTCACTTCAGCACAAATTTTTGACACAGTCTGTGGATCTCCCGAGAGAAACCCCTTCATGTCAATGGGTGGAATTTTGAGTTCTGGTGCTACCAGGCATGGCTTCTCATTATCGGGCCATACAAACTCAGAGGGTATGTTGGACTGGTTTGGCATCAGAGGTCCATCAAAGTTCTGCTGCTGTCCTTCCATGTCATTTCCTAGGGTGTTTTGGGGTGCAACTAGCATTGATGGGTGAGGGATCAACATGTTTGGTTTGAAGACAAGAACAATCAGCTAGAGTGATATGGTGGAAGGTGTTGTGGAGAGAGATGAGAAGAGTTTTAGTGAATGGGAAAGACAAAGGAAGAGGTTGTAATAAAGGTGGTGAAATAGAGTATTAATAAAGGCCAAGAGGATTCATTGGGGAAGTCGGGGAACAGATATGAGAGAATCTTATGAGAGTTTGTTTGCTAGATTGCTATCTTTTTCACTCTCCTTTTTCTCAAATGTGACCAATATTTATAGGGAAGATCATACAAGTGGTTTGCATTGGATTAGATTGCTCCATTTCTCCTTATTGGTGGAAGAATTTTCACTACAGAAAAAAGTGTTGATAAAGATAAGTGATTAATTAGGTAGTTCTAAATCACATTTTTTTCCCTTTGATTTTTACATCTAATTATAAATTGCACCACTAAAAATACATATTATATAGGAATTAGTTAGAATTATTATTATCTTTAATCAACCAATATTTTTTTTTTATTAATAGCACGCTTCTCTTTTATGTTATAGCTGACAAGTTTTCTCATTTTGTATTATTTATTAACTAAATTTTATAATTTTTAATTAGGTTTTCTTTTTAAAATATATTTTTGAATCAAAAAAAGTTCTTCATTTAATATTTAAATTCAATGCTAGCTACTCAACTATCTTAATATCAGTGTTGAATTGTAAATACTTCATTTTTTTAATCTCTTCTATATATTCATACATTGGAACTAACAGCAAAAGAAGTGTTTATGGATATTTTTATAATTGATCTTTCTATTTTTCTGTATCACATTATTATTTTTTATCTTTCCGAATTCTCTATATCTTTGATCTCTTAACAAAATCTGCATGCAAAGTTGTTTTTCTTCTTGAATTACAGCATATTCTAGTAAAAATAAATCATGCATTGACAGGTCAAGAAGAATAAAAAAAAGTGGGTGAAAGTGTAAGCAGAATGTAAATAAGAACAGAATAATATCAACAATATTCCTGATAGTATATATCAAGATGCATGAAAGCACTAAGAGAAAATATTATAGAAGAAAAGTGAAGGAATATATTATGCAAAATTAAAATTAAAAAAAAAATAGAAAGAAGATTTAACCTGGATATAGATACTAAAATACTAGAAGGATGAGGTGGCTCTGTTTGTACGTGAAAAAATCTATCATTTTTAAAAAATAAATAAATAAAATTTATTGCATGAGTTAATGAGATAAACAAAACATAGGTTTTGTCAATACATGAATTCTGAATCTGTGATGGAGACTAATCTGTTATGGATATGTGCCTGATTAAGTAACCTTTTTTTTGTGCCAATGAAGGCTTTCTTCATCTTCCCTATGCTTTCTGCATGCATTTTCAACCTTTTATTTAATGATCATAATTGTCACTGTTACATAGCAGTTGTCAGCATCCATCAGTATATTTATTGTCATTTTTACTAACGTGACTACTACCAATGCCATTGCAATTACCAGTGTCTTGTTGTAAGGGTTCTTCAAAAATTTTAATTTTTAATATTCTTAAGGGCATTTTACAGAAATAGTTTATATTTTTAGAACATGAACAGATTCTTAAAAAAATTATAAATTAAAATGAACTTATGTGCAAAATATTTTTATAATTTTTTTTAATTATATAAAAAAAATTGCTTTTATTTTATATATATATATACATATATATATATATATATATATATATATATATATATAATTCAATAGATAATAGGTGATGAATTGGAAAAAATTAAAAGAAAAATAAGTTATAAAATATAAATTTTCATCTACAAAATATTAAAATATGTGCAAATTATAACTCTCTTTTTGACAATTTTTCATATTTCAAAAATATTGTATAAATTTGAATTGTTAACATTAAAATAAATTAAGAAGTATTATGAAAATCTTATGTTTGACATTAATAAGAAATTGTTTAATAGCTGTGATATCTGGTGTGGTTAATATATTGAAATTAGGCTAAAACTAATTTTCGGTATATACAATATATTGAAATTAATAAAATGAGATGAGATTTAATAGTGTAAAAAGAAAACTTAACTATAATGAGAAAATCCTTTATCATGTAGCAATCACATCTTTCTCTTTCTCTTTCTTTCTTTTCTCTCTCTCTATATATATAAATGTATTATATAATATCTACATTGACTCTCTTTTTTTCAAATATTTAAAAGAAACAATTTATATAAATTAATCAACTTACATAAATTTATTAATTGTTGTCAATTATTATCAAAATCCTATTCAGAGTCTACAAAAGGATATACCCGTAAAATCTCAACCAATCCAGTACCTAGAGTTTTTCTAAGCACAATTTAATGATATAAATCAAATTGTTATGGATCAATTAAATGATAAAAGATTAATTAAACAAGTTTATCAATAGACTCACATATGGGACCACTTATTCATAACCTAACCGACTTATAAAAAAACAAAAATTAATTATTAAGTTTAGCCTATATTTTAATATAGATTATAATTTTTAGTTTAATATGATGTTAGGTTTAGTCGGATCAATTTTAGTCAAATTAAAAAATTATTAACATGTCTATAAAAAAATAATTTATTTAAAATAATATAAATAAAAATAAAAATATATTTTTAAAATTTAAATCATATTTTAGTAGGCTTATGAGTTTCATACCACATAAGAATATAGATCAAAGATAGTTTATATATAATATTTCTTCTTAACCCATTAATATATTTTTTAAGGATAGGACAAGAACTTAAAAGCGAACATTACCTAAGTTATAAGAATGAAATCTAATAATGTTATCATAATAGATATAAGACTCGGACATGTTCGTTTCTAAATGAAATAAATTGTATTAATAAATTTAGTTTTTATCGAACATATAATAATTTAATATATAAATTATAAAATAATGGGTTCTGTTAATATCAAAATAAAAAATAAAAATTTATTTAAATTATTTATTCTTAATCTCTTGTCAAATTAATTTATTATTATTATTATTATTAAATATAAAATAATATTTTTATTTTAAAATAATAATTATTTAATAAAATAGGTTGACTCATAAACCTATGAATTAGTCTAACCTAAAATTATATAAATTATGATATAAAAAAATCAAGAAAAAAATATTATCATAATCTTTTTAACCTATCTTTGATTTATTTTTCGTACTTTTCAAATGAAATAATCCGACTAAGTTTATTTTCATTACCTTATTTATCAACTTATGTTACATGCACTTTAGGTACTCGTAAAATTAAAATCTTTATTACACAATCTTTTAAAGGATTAGATGATTATAACCTTAAAGCACATATAACATATTTTAGTGAAACAAGTAATTGTCTTTGTACTTATATTCTTATAAATATTTATATATAAAATATTTTTTACATTTCCTCTTATCTCAAATAATCATCAAATTTGTAATATAACATATACTTGTTCGTTAGATTTGTCATGTATCTCGGATTTCTCTTAAGACTAAATTAAACTTAACATTTTTCTTTATCTAACAACAGAAGTTTATTTTAGTTTTATAGAAAGTTTTTTTTTTTTTTAAGTTTAGTTCAATATTTTAGGAACAACATCGACATTACAAAAATCAAATTTTCTCGCCTATTTATTCTTAACCAACAATTTTGCTTGTGACTTATGAAACCAAACTTTAATGGGGCTAGGAAGATAAGATGAGATAAAATAGAATTAGTATAGAAATGTGATGGAAGAAAAGATAACGCGAAATAATTGAATAAATTATAAGATACAATCTTTAAATGTATTTCTACCCCTTCTCATTTTTTTTTTTCAACCAAACACTTCCAATGTTTATTTTAGTTTCTCATCTAGTTTTACTCTACTAACTTATTTTCACGTAACAAATTTATGAATTGTCCCAAGTAAATTATTAAAGATACATATAGAGAAGAATAATTTTTACATGAGTAATAAGAAATAAAAACATAGTAAAAGAAAAAAATATGAAAGTGTGTCTTAGTTAGGAGCACCTGTAGTGGCTGGGAAACGAAGAAGGATCCTAGGGCAATTCTAATGCCACTTTCTTTTCATAAAGTAACTCTGCAAAATCCCATGAAAATGAACCTTTCCATTCCTAGCAACTCCACCTTCTTCTTTTTTCTTACTGACCCACCAATATTCTGATTATATAAGTTTAACACAACAACACACGATTCTTCCCGTTTTCCTGCTTAATCTTCCACTTCTTACTTCCCACAAAACATCATAGTTACTCACATTTTTATTTCCTGCAATGAAACTTCTTCACCATACTTTTCATGGTTTTTGTTGTTGTACATGCTTAGCTGGAAAAATTAGTACGGTCTATGGACTAGTACCAAACAACACCTATAACCCCAGATTTTGATTATTATTGTAATCTTGTCACTAATAGGTTATGTTTTAGTGGTAAACATTCTATTTAGTTTCTCATTTTCTCTTTCTTTTATAATGTACTCAAATTTAATAGGTTATATATAGAAATTAATATAGAACCCTTTCCCAGTAAATAGTGAAACTCTCTATTAAATGTACCATTGTCATTGTTCTTTTATCTTGTTCATTAAAAAAAAAAACTATATGTCCCTAATATTATCTATAATTGTAGTTTGTATACTTTTTATGTAATTGAATTAGAATTTTTTTTAGATAATTGGAAAGGGTTTGAAGACGGTTTGCATGATAAATCAATTATTTTGATTGAACATGTCATGGATCAATTTCACCACTATCCAATTCATAATTCTCTTACTCAAGTCAAGTTCTTCACGAGTTGGAACTGGTCATGTCAATGGACACTTTGATTTAGGTACTATGTCCTTTTTACAGATACTAAATAAATAAAAAGTTAAAGAGAGAAATATAAAATTAAAGTATTTTTTTTTAAAGAAATTGATGTTATTTTTAAACTTATATATTTTGTATAATTTATTTTTCAGAAAGACTAGTTTTATTTCTACTAACATTTTACA